TGACACATATTATATAAATATTAGTGTTTGTAAGTAACAAATCAGTAAAAACAATGCAAAACTAGTACGACGCCACACAATTATTTACATATTCCAATAACATAACCTCATTACTGATCTGAGGCTGGAAATCTGTTGGGTTGGCACTTCCGAACTTCACAAAGAGATTGACGAAAATTTGAACATGCTCTAATTCGTCAAGAACTTGATGAAAAACATGAAGTTTTTTGACAGCAGATTTGGTGCATTACACTTGTCCAATTTCTTGATGAAGCGACTTCATGAATTAATTGATCAATAAATTGTCAATGTAAAACAGCTATTAGCTAAAAACTAAATTGGAACCAGTTAACGTTAAATAACGCCAAAACTATAAATATTAGGAAAAAAACTATTTGCACCTTTTTAAAAGTACATTGAAAAACCTTAACCCCTTAAGAACAAAAAGTCCACCTAGTGCTTATATAAGTTTTGAAGTGGGGGGTAAGATGAGCCTAATTCTAAATTTTGAGAAAAATCGATGCAGTTATAAAAAATTCGGAGGTATTACTATATTTTCAGCTACAGTAACTGGGCTAATATATGAATCTTGAATGGAAGGGCTATCTATACCCTTTCTTATTCCCTTAAATCTGTGTGACTTATTGGGAATAATAGTAAAAAAATTAATATGACATTAGGATTTGCCATTTACATAAAGAAAACGACAGTTTATTTAGAGGACAGTTGGACGTATTTGAATGCAAAAGATTGACATAATTTTCTTTCCATAATCGATAATATTCGAAAAAGTCTGTGGTGCGTCATGCAAATTTCCCGTGTTTAGTTATTACTAAAATATTATATTTTCGTTGTGTAGCTCCTGCTATGGTGCTTCCTGAAACCTTCGCGCCTCGTGCTCCTCAAAGGCCAACAGACAGACCTAGGGGCCCTGAAGCCTACAAAAAGTTCATTTTCGATTCGAAATATCAGCTTAAAAAGCCAAAGGCCACCGGACTTACCCCTTCGCCAGGGAAGCAGAAGAAGCGCGGTAAGAAAGTACCTAGTTATTTTTTTTGCGACCGACCAGAAAATTTAATTTTTCACCGTCCAAGATCGAGAAAAAGGCGTCGCAAATCGGCAAAAGCTTTTAAATTAATTAATCTGATTTATGAAAAAATGCCTCTGTGGGCTATGATCGACAAATCATATCGCATCACATCTTTAAATCATCATATAAATTATGAAATTTTTGTTTTAATGTAATCTTGATCTTATTTTTTCAATAACTTTTAATTTTACTGAAATCGCTTTATGAAGGAAATAAAGTTACTGTTTCAAACAAAATTGCGGGTCACGTGGCTTGTAACCATTTATGAATGCTCTGTATAAAAAGGGACATTTCTTGCCCGGAAATGGGTCCGTAAAACTGCATGTTACGGCAAGGTTCATGGAAAAGATTCTTACACCCTGTAGATAAAAACATTCATTTTGACACTTGACAAATAAGAGTCGACATATTTATGTGTCTTTCTGAAAAAACATATTTTTCTTGATTTTTTCATTAAAAAAATATTAAGACGCAATGAGGACTTGGACAATTGCAGAAATATTTGTTTCAATATTCAATCTATAGATAATGGCGAATTAATTATTATTTATTGAAGAAGTGTTCAGTGGCGACAATGCTTTCGCAGCATTTTTATTGTCAGGATTGACATTTGGACAATATTTAGAAAATATTTTGACAAATGTAAGTATTTTTGCGGATTGTAGTAGGTACAATTACATATTTGATTACTGCCTATGGTTTCGTAAAACTTTTTACCTCGAAAAATTAACAATAAAAAAGTTTACAGTTCCCCATCCGGGTACACAAGGTAGAACATGCCATAAAATGCTTACTGGAAATTCTTTTGTTAGCAGGATTACCAATATATTTTTAATAGCACGTTCCAATTCACTCTCTCTTAATTGAGGATCTTTTGAAAATCTGTAAAAACTAATGGATTCGCCAGTTTTTTTATTCCATTTTACTATCCACACCACATATTGGGCCCCCAGAATTAGGTATAATCCATAGACTTTATAAACTACAGGACTCTCATTTTGCCTATATAAACGGCAATGGCACAGTCAGTCGTGTGTGAGAGAGATAGAGCTAGTGCGGGCTTATGCTTCGATCACAGAACTTCCAATGTAGCGCGCTACATTTAAATCAACCAATCGGCTAGCTCGATTCCTTACCCCCTTTTTTTCTGTTGGCCGTATTCCCGTTTAAAGAATGATTTTAACTACATTTATATGTGGTGGCTACACTGAAAATATGGTTAAGTTAAAAAAATTTGAAAAATTATTGATTAAGTTTTTAATTATATTCAGATGAACGGAAAAAAGGGACAGCCGACAAATTTCTGATCTACAAAGATTTTATAAAAATAATATCGAGACTAGAAGACAAAAAATTCCATTAAAAATTTGTAGATATGTTAATTCTATGAGAAACTACACTTATGGTATTAAGAAATCTTAATTCAAACTGAATTTAAATTCAATTTCTTTTCTTTTAACAATACATATTTGTACCAGTAATTTTAATTATTATTATTGAATAAGAGCATAAGCACTATTTGTTTATATGGAATTTCTGTACAAATTGGAGGTATTAATGGGGGAATGTAATAATTAGAAATTTAAAGTCAAAGATATTTTATTATACATATTTAAAAAATATTCATAGTTACAATTTTATAATGCCTTCTTTATGTATTTCTCAATGTATTTTCTTCATATCGTAAGCTCGATCAGTTAAAATTACTGCAAGCTCTTCTGAAGCAGTTATTTTAAATAGTTCATATTATCTTGCTTTGTAAAACTATATCGATGCTTTCTTTTTCAACGTATTATTTAAAAAGGAGTTTTGCTGAAGCATATTATAAGCACAATTCAGTTGAAACTGTTTATTTATATGTATTTAGTTTGATGTTAAAAAATAATTTTGAAGAATGAAACATTTGAGGGGGCAAAATGTTGACATTAAAATTACATTTTATTTTGAGTATGGGGGAAAAATATAATCAAATATGTTATCACCAGAGACAACTCTACTTGGTCATTATTTTCAGAAAGATGCGAAAATATAAACATATCCTCTTTTCTACTTACGAAATTTTATTTTTTCTCGACTTAAATGTCCCTTTACGCAATTGATCGCTGAACACGATTGCACCATATTTAGTTTTCACAAATATTTCACATACACTAAATCACACACAAAAATTTAAGAAATCTTTTACATGATTTTTACTCAAAGGTTTGTTTACAGTATTTCGTACCGGTATATCCGTGTACTATTATTTGTTTTACCGGTATTTGCCTGCACTAACTTCGTCTGCCTTGCACACATGAGCGCGATTGACTTATCTTTCTAGGGCCAGTCCATAGTTTACTAGTCTATGGTATAACCCGACATAGTTTTAGATAAATGCTTGTGAGCTTAAGGAGGTATATCGTGGTCCGAGGGAAGTGAGGAGCGCAGGGGGGTACTATGCTTTTCTTATGGCACTAAAGCCCGCTGCTAATTTGAAAAAATTAAATTCTATTGAAATCATTTGTGATAAACATTATCTATATAGCAAAGAAATTTACCCATATGCACATAGCATACATATTGACTAATTAACAACATAAAAATATCATATTTAAGTAGTTTTAAATTATATTTAATGAAAGCATAAAGACTATGTAGATGTGGCAACAGCGTTAATAATTGACTAGCAGTTGTACACTCTGCGAACCTGCAGTCCTCGGACATCGGAGATATTGCGCGTCAAATTCAGGTAAAGATGCGTACGCGTTTAAAAATGTATGTAAACTATGTACAATGTAATTATTATAATATCGTATTATCCTCGCGAAGATTTGTATCCTTTATTTAAAATCCGTAAATCATGTGAACTGGTAAGACAACGAGAATTATGTTAATTTAGTTCTAAAGAAATGAAATGACACTCGCGCCCTTCTCTCGTCCAAGTCAAAGAAATTGTTGGATGCAATTATGAAGGTTCTGTGATAGAAATTACATTATTATTCACTGTTCGTGTTTTTCATCTCTATTCTAGTAATGTTACAAAAGTTTTGCAACTATAACTAATTTTTTAGATATAAAGTTTGCTGAGAAATATTTGTTCCTTTGTTATTCCGTACAAATGCTTTTATCTCAAGTATTACTAATTATATTAATCAAGTAAAGAAAACTTTATGTAGTCCTAAATATTGCTGGGTAATGATTACGATGTTTTTATAAACCATTAAATATATTAAAAGGATTTATCAACTGTGTTTTTTATTCCAATAAATATATCACAGCTTCCTAGTCTTTTTGAATTGATCTACTGTTTAAAAACATTACAAAAAATCATCTGTTGTGGATAATTTATTGTTGTTAACAATGAACATGGGATTTAGGAAAAATGTATATGTTTGAAATCAATTTCGTTTTTATCAAGTCTTTCAAATGTATTCCCTCCTTGCCGTCAGCTGATTGCGACGTTGCCACATTAATCCTCAAGTCAGACAGAAATGCAATTATTGGTTCTGTTTCTAATTAATACAGTTGTACTATGTTCAAAACTTACATTAGCTTTACATCAAAAATAAGATAATACTGTGTACTATCTATGGAAAAGTTTTGTTTCACAATTTCTACATTTTTTTCTCAGTTATGGGCAAAAAAGAGCCGCTCCGTCCATCTTCGCCATATAATCCTACGTTAAAATGAACAACTTTCAACAACAATATCTCAAAATTTAGATTAAAAAAAAATTTCAAAAAAATATGACGCTCAGAGGGAGCACTGGGTAATACGCTATATAAATTTCAAGTACATCTGTGCATTTGAGTAAACCCGATATACCTCCTTAATAGTATTTAAGTAAAAATCTAAGAGTGAAAAAACCCAAGACGTACGACTTCTATGTCACAGGGAATATACAAAAATACAGATCAAAATTGAAACTTAGGACATTTATTAGCAAAAATAACAACGATGGGCGTTGACGCTATTCGATTTGTAATACCAATGATGTAACTCGTCAGTTTGGAGAGAAATGGCGCCACGGGGATCAGCAATTTGTAGGCAAACGCGGGACGAGTTTTCAACCTCTATTGTCGCCACTGTCTTTGTAAGGCCACAGCCCTTTAAGGTCTTTGCCCCATAATTTGCTTCATTAATTACGTAGATTGCATATTCACGAGTGACGGTTTAACGGTTAATCTCTTTTTTTATCGTCCTCCAGGAGAGTCACCTGAAGATAGGGCCAACAGGTCGCTGGCCGAGAAGTCGATGGCGCGCATGGGGGAGAAGGTGACGGCCAGGGCCGCCAGCATGTCCCCGTGCGCCCCTAAGTACATAGATACCCCCGAGGGGACGGAAATGGTCCTCAAGGAGACCGTCTTCAAGACGAGGGTCGAGAGGGACGAGGAGGGAGAGAAGATCGTGAAGAACTTGCAGATAATGGACGCGCAGACGGGCGGGATGCCGAAGATGATCGAAATGAATCTGCAGCAACTGTAAGTAAAAAAAAACTTACCACAAGCATCTCATTCAGTTGTCTGCGATTACGCAACCAACCCTAGAACAACCCATAATGTAGAATGCTAAGTGCCATGTATTACCGACGTACTAATGGTACGCCATCTCTTGTTGACATAAAAACTAAATCGGGCGGTAAATTTAAATTGCTTGGAAGTACTTTTTACAAAAATTACTTGTTTTTGTTTTTACAATTGTTGGCTTAAAAGTAGGTTGTTCCATTTAATATTTCCACGTTGACCTTGATTTGATCTTGAACCTTAGGGCCAGGTCAAATCCGAGGTCACCACCATATTAGATTTCTGATATCCATTTATCTGATTTTTTTTATAGCTTAGGGGTTCAAGTGTTTTTGGGACACCCTATACAGTATTGTACAAACTCTATGATAAACTTTGACAGATTATAGCTGGGTTCATTTCAGATATTTTTTTTTTCATATGAACATAAGTCAGATTTGTTTTTTATAGAAGTAACAAGCATTTTAAAAAATATAATTTCATATTTCAATCAAATCATTTTTATTTATCAGGCTACTTTGATTGAAATACGAAATTATAAATTTTAAAACGCTTGTAACTTCTAAACAAAAACGAATCGGACTTATAAGAAAAAATGTTTGTAACTAACCTAGCTACCATGTCAAAGTTTGTCATAGAGCTTTTAGAACACCCTGTATATTGAGACATAAGTTGTCTAAATATGGAAGAATTGCTGATCAATGATATTGTGATATTGATATTTATAAAAGTTTTATTTGTATTTTTTCTAAAATGTAATAATATTTATAGTTAGTTGACGAAAGTCGATGAAATTGGTTATAATATAATCATATTATCGTGAATTGCATAAGTCAAGTCAAGAAGAAGAAGAAGAAGAAGAAGAAGAAGAAGAAGAAGAAGAAGAAGAAGAAGAAGAAGAAGTCATATATAGCGATGAACTTTTCGAAATTAAACATAAAACACCACAGAAATGAGACAACCCCAAATCCAAAGCCAAAGGCTTGTGCGGAAGGGGGCTACACTTGATAAAACGCGTACGAAATTAGAAACGAAGTTTACATAATCTTGGAAAAACTGCTTACCTACTTCTCGAATAATAAAAATTGAAATTTAAAAAAAATTTCACACCAAGAAAGGTGGCGCAATTTTCTCTAGGTCTCTTAGTTTTATCCACTCTGGAATAATTCTAATTTATATTCCTAACTTTGTAATAAGGGATAACAAGTGATATCTGCGAAAATTTTCGTTAAAGAATTCATTTTTAATCGTTTTGAACATACTCAAAAATTCTCTTCAGACATTTCAACCTTAACAAACACACCGTCCACGGAAACTAAGCATTTTCAATCCATGTTCATGGTTTTTTTCTTAATTTTCACCAGTTGTCCCGTGTAAAGTTTAGCTTGTGCAATTCGGGATACCCTATACATACAAGGTGTTTGACAAGCTCTATGACAAACTTTGTATATGACGTATATACATCATATAACCGTTTTTTAATTTAATATTTTATTTTCAGGGATCCGAGATATGCTCTTAAAGAGGTAAGTAGTAGTTGTCTATCTATATGTCATGCAATTTTTTTTCTTCACAAGTTTTAAATTTATTTCTTTTATATTTTTGCTGTATTAGTCAATATCAAAGTGAGCTACCATGTATTATTAAACTAAAATGTTAAATTATACATAATAACGTACATTTCCACGAAACATATAAATAAAGTATACATATACAGGGTGTTCAACCAAAGAGGGATTCTTCTGTAACTCTGCAACTGTAAAATTTATAAAAAAAATGGTTTTAATGAAAGTTGCCTGGAATCATGTGGACCACGTAGAGAAAATATTTTTAGCTTTACAGGGTGTTTAATTTCGCGTGGGCGCTACATAACTTTGTTATTTTAAATGGAATACCCTGTATATTATTACATTTTTGAATTCCTCGGATAATATTAGATACAATTTATTATTATTAAATGTTCATGATGTTTTCGAGATATGCAGTTGTTTTTGAAAAAAATCCCGATTTCAGCTCTCTAAATGGGGCTAGATAGCATCTAAACCGTAAGTGTTAGAAACCTGCAGTTTTCACAGTTAGTTTTGGCATAAATTACTCTATCTTGTCATCTGTGAACAAAACGTGTACCTCATTCAGATTTCAGACTCGGAAATAATGAGACCTACATTTACTAATCTTTTTTAAACATTTTTTTAGAGAGTAGAGCCTAGAGTGTACGCTTGATTCACAGGTCAACAAGGAGTGTATGCTTGATTCACAGGTCAACAAGGGTCACACAGTCTAATCACCACAATTTATGTTTTCGGGATCGCTGAAACCAATTCTGATATCAATATAACTTCAACTAGTCAAAATTCGTACCTAACCTCAAAAAAGTAGCGCAAATTTCTAAGATTACACTTTTCTACGTTTAGAAATGAAGTGTAACCAATATATCTTTATATTTTTGGGGTCACTGAATCGAATTCCTACATCCGTTTGAACCCAACTAGTCACTAGTCGTACCTACCTAACCTCAAAAGCTATAATAGTTATAAAGTGCGACCACCATATTTTTATGTTTTTTTCCAAACGAGCTTGTAATATGATGAAAGGTATGTTCCATATAAAAAGAACAAATTCTTTTTAGTAGTTCTGCATATAATACTAAAGGAAAGGTAATACAGACTTTATTGTCTTAGCCATGATAACGGCCTCAACCCGATTAAACACAAAAACATATATTGTTTAACCAGTTGAATTTAAAAATATCGGAAGTAGGTACTGAAAGGACGGGATAATTCTTATGTAAACCTTAATCGATTCGGCAAATACTATTTCGAAATTTATTTCAGTATGTGGATTCAGTCAACGAATTCAGAAATTAAAATGATTTGATCAAAACCCTAATCAAAGTGTCAGCGCACCAGAGGCTTTTTGAAAGATAGTAGCGTTTGAGTGATCCAATATTTCGTGTTTTTCATGTGTATCTTCAGGCGTCATATTGGAACTACCACGAGAGGGTTAGAGAAGTGATACGGCTTGGGGGTAACTTTTGTAAATAACAGATCAATTGGATATAATAATCAACTTTAATTTAGTTACCTGTAATAGATTATAAGCGATTTTGTGATCAGACTTTATAACTCAACCAGAAAAAGTGTAATTTTAGTGATTTGGAATATTTTTTGAGGTTATGTATGACTAGTGACTAGTTGGGTTCAAACGGATGTAGGAATTCGATTCAGTGATCCCAAAAATATAAAGATGTGTTGGTTACACTTCATTCCTAAACGTAGAAAAGTGTAATCTTAGCAATTTGCACTACTTTTTTGAGGTTAGGCACGAATTCTGACTGGTTGAAGTTATATTGATATCAGAATTGGTTTCAGCGATCCCGAAAACATGAATTGTAGTGGTTAGACTGTGTTACTCATCGTAGAAACTCATTATTTCAACGATTTGAAGTATTTTTAAGGTTAGGGACGAACAGTGACAAGATGGGGTTTAACGAATATTGAATTCGAAATCAGCAACCCCAAAAACGTATAGATATGGTGATTCAGTCTACAATACAGTGTTTTTATGTTTATTATCTATCAATATTGCTCATTAAACAGAATTCTCCATGATTACGGACGCCATATTGGAACCGCCATGATGTTTTTTTAAAAACCACCAGACGGCATTCGATAGAGTTTTTAAATACGAAGCTTTTGACACGTCGAACGTTAATATTGATGCATTTTTGTTCTGCGCAGCCCACTGTGCCCGTTGACGTGAAACGCCCGATTTCTATTTTTAATATGCAAATAGGTACTTAATAAATGTGTTAATTAAGAATCCCATATATTGACTTTTTGCGGAACCCTAACCATCATACCCAAATTTCTTTAAAATTTAACGAGTCGATTTCATTTTATATTTGTTCAATGATCTGAAAAATCCTAAAAATATTAACATGAGTAAAATTGATTTGAAAATGTAATTTTTTAACAAATTGTTTAAAAAAATCGGCTATATTGGCTCGACCGTTTTGAATTTTCATTTTCTGATATAATATTCTTGTTCAGCGACCTCAAAAACCCCTATAATGTAATTTTAACTAAATTTACTTTGAAATTTGTAATTTTTAAATAATTTGTTTTAAATAAATCGGCCATATTGGATCAACCGTTTTGAATTTTCATTTTCTGATATAATATTCTTGTTCAGAGACCTCAAAAACCCCTATAATGTCATTTTAACTAAATTTACTTTGAAATTTGTAATTTTTAAATAATTTGTTTTAAAAAGTCGGCCATATTGGATCAGTCATTTTGAATTTTTATTTTCTGATATAATATTCTTATTCAGCGACCTCGAAAATCCTTATAGTATTTGAAATTTTTTGATTTATTTAAAATAATCTTTAAAAAACCATTTTTTATTGTTTAAACAACAAAATTTACAGGTACATTTAATAACTTAATTTCCTTATGCAGGGAAAGGAAGTCATTTCAATCGCCAGCAAACTGTCCATGTCCGAGAGCTACACAACTGTCACCCACGATGTGTCGAGAGCAGTAACAGAGGTAAATAATCCAAAATGTAAAAGTATCTTTATCAGATTCCGCGATTACTTTTTGATCCTTCCTCGCTTGGATGGTTTCTCAATAACACAATTACATTTGGTTAGACTGTTCCCGAGGCGGCGGGTATGCCAACGGAGGAAATAGCCAAACTGGTAGAGGAAGAGAACGAAGACGTGGACAACACATTGAAGATGCTGCCGCCTGACCTGGCTTTGTCCCCCGGCAGGTACGAGATGAAGAGGCGACTGCAGCATCTACAGCTGAATTCAGAATCGGTGGCCCTCTTGGAACAGGTACGTGACAACTAATTAATATACTATATCCTTGGTGAAAGCTATAAGAATGAAGGTCTGTGAGAAAATGCGCGATAAAAAAATGTGACTTATCTAGAACAAAGAGCTGCTTCCTGAATTTCCCTTCTACAGAAACATTTGCGGTGGAATAATTTCCGGGTTAGTCGTCACGTCATCGGTTTGTCTTCTTGACTCGCTCTCTTCTTTAAAATAAACTATGAAAATTGAGATTAAGTCCTCTGGTCGGTATTTTTACTTTGTGTGTATAAAGATTGGATGGCTGCATGGTTTTAAGTTACTGGTGTGAGACGTTCCGATCGTTAACATTTAGGGATGAATTGGTGCCAACACACATCTCGAGAGTGTGAGACAATATCTTGAACCTCTTACTAGACTTCTGGTATACTGAAATCTATCACGTGTCTTGTATCTGTTTAGGTCAGGAAATATACAGGGTGTCTCATAATTAGCTGCCAACCCTGAACAGGCCGATTCTATGATCAAAACTAAGTAAAAAAGTTCATATGAACATGGGTCCGGAAATGCTTCCTAAGGGCACAGGGACCCATTGAAGAGGGAGGAATGGAAATCATTTTTTTGCAATATCTCTCAATCGCGTTGTGATAAATGAATGAAATTTGGTATACACAGCTAAATTTTGATGAGCAATTTGATGGACTAATCCATTTATTTCCACAAGGTCCATTGGGGTGGGTACGGGGGGGCCCTTGGTACTTTGCGTGTGTAACTTTTTCATCTTTGACTTTTTAACAAATTGGACAGCAAATTCCGTTTTCCCGAACTGTTTTACGTTAAAAAGGTACTCTTGTTTCAAATCGTTATCTTTAACGGTTTCTGAGAAAATCGCTCTTGAATTAATCCCACTTTGGTCAATTTCATAGTAATTTAAACAAAAAATAATAATAATAATTTTCCTTTCCTCTCTTTTCCATTTAAAGGATTAATTTTTATTTAATTTAATTTTTTATTATTATTTTTTTATTAAAATTAGATTAAATTTAAACAAAAAAATTTTTTTTGTTTAAATTACTATGAAATTGACCAAAGTGGGATTAATTCAAGAGCGATTTTCTCAGAAACCGTTAAAGATAACGATTTGAAACAAGAGTACCTTTTTAACGTAAAACAGTTCGGGAAAACGGAATTTGCTGTCCAATTTGTTAAAAAGTCAAAGATGAAAAAGTTACACACGCAAAGTACCAAGGGCCCCCCCGTACCCACCCCAATGGACCTTGTGGAAATAAATGGATTAGTCCATCAAATTGCTCATCAAAATTTAGCTGTGTATACCAAATTTCATTCATTTATCACAACGCGATTGAGAGATATTGCAAAAAAATGATTTCCATTCCTCCCTCTTCAATGGGTCCCTGTGCCCTTAGGAAGCATTTCCGGACCCATGTTCATATGAACTTTTTTACTTAGTTTTGATCATAGAATCGGCCTGTTCAGGGTTGGCAGCTAATTATGAGACACCCTGTAGATATGCAAAAGGAATGCAGAAAATGTAAAACAACATCTACGAGGATCTAAAATTACCTGGTATTTGTAAAAGATTCATTCGTTTAAATCAACTTGACTTCAACCGGAATGTCAGGACAATAAAAATGAATACCGACCAGAGGACTTAATATCCAAGTCTCTGAGTTTCTTGAGCTTAGAAAGGAAGCGGCGTGTCTTCTTTATTCCACATTTCATGAAGAGGTACCAGCAATGGACCAGTTTCCAGTTTCCTAAATGTTTGTTTTGTGTTCGTAGTCGATCATCCACCCTCAGCCTAGAGCAGACGAGGCCCAGACTGAGCCCACTCCAGAGGTGATGGCGGCCATGATGCACACTGTAGAGAAAGGTGTTCCGCCGCTGTCGACCCCGGACCAGGTCTTCAACACTCTCTTTATGGAAACAAGCAACGAACGATACATAAAGTTAAGGTAATTGGTCGCTGGAAACTGCACCAAAAGGCACTTTTGCCAAGAACGTCCGCAAGTTTCTGACCGAGTGTTACGTTTTTATTTATTCCCTTCAGTCCCGTAACCGAAGGGCCATTGCAAGACGTCGTAGTTCCCACAGAGGTTCCCCTCGACGTACACAAAGAGGTTATCACGGACGATATGGAGAAGCTGACGGAAAAACTGCAGAACATCCCCACAGCCGCCGAGCTTCCCGAGTTGGATATATTCGAACAAGTAATGGCTCAGGGTAACCAGATAACTGCGAAAGGTACTTTAGCGTCAGTAGGTGTCCTTCCTGGTGCAACTACATGCTTTCTTTTCAGGCGGGAAGAACATCGCCTTCCAACCCATCACCGACGAGAAGTCCTTGTGGGTTAATGCAAGTAAGTCCTTCCATCTGATTCTCTTGGTTATGCTCGTGGGTACAGGTCAAGCCCGTTGACTACGAACTCATCAGGTCTCACGAAAATAATATAATAGCGTTAATAATTTTACCACCTTTCCAGATTTGGAGCATCTAGTGTACGTAGTGGGTGCTGTCCCAGTAGAAGTTCTGGATCCGGCCAATGTGGACGCGTTGGAAGCCACTGGACAACTGGAGGCACAGATGGAGACTGGTGTCGAGTACTACGTCGACGCGGATCCCGTCCAGTACATGTCCAGGGTCCAGCTGAGGGGCACCCAATTGCCGAGCTATTTCCCAGGTGAGTTATCCGGCGTGACTCATAATTATGATGCTATTTGTATCTCTGCAGCTATCTCTAGCTCTGCCTCCATCTTTATCGCTATCTTTATCTCTGCCTCTACCTCTACCTCTATCTCTATTTCCATCCCCATCTTTATCGTTACCTCTACCTCTACCTCTACCTCTACCTCTACCTCTACCTCTACCTCTACCTCTACCTCTACCTCTATCTCTATTTCCATCCCCATCTTTATCGTTACCTCTACCTACCTCTACCTCTACCTCTACCTCTACCTCTACCTCTACCTCTACCTCTACCTCTATCTCTATCTCTACCTCTATCTTTATCTCTATCTATATCTCTGTCATCAATTGGTGAGACAGAACAGAATATTCGTTACATTCGCTATGCTCGTTGAAAACATCAATTTTGTGACATCACAGAGTGCTATAACGGGTATGTTTTTATGTCCGCTGAGTGTGTTAAAAATAGCCACTTTTTAATTAGTACAGTCATTGAAGGTGAAAATCAGCTGTAACCTCCGAATTCTTTGAAACTGCATGGATTTGCATGAAAATTTAGAATAAGGCTCATCTTAGGCTCAAGTTCAAAAGTTACATAAGCCCGATTGACGCTTTTTGTCTTTTTTGGGGTACCTAAAACTACCTTTAAGTGAAAAAATTGAAGAAATTAAGTTTTAAGCATTTTATTGATAAAAATGTTGTTGAAGCACAAATATTAAATAATGTTTCATGTTCTCGAACATGTTTTATTATATATTTGATCTTTTCGTCCCTTTATTTAACCCTTAAAAACTACCCCTATGCAAAAAATAATGATAAAAAATTACTTTTTAAAGATTTGGAATGATTAAATCGTGCAATTAATTATTTAAAATAAAAGTTACCTTATAGCTAATAAAATAATTTTTCTATTTCAACCCCTAAAAACCACCCCTGTATTAACAAAAATGATAAAAAATTACTTTTTAAAAGCTTGGAATCCTTTAACGGTGCAATTATTTAAAATAAAAATTCCCTCATTGCTTATGAAAGAATTTGTATCTCGTAACAATTTTCGACCCTTATAAATCGCCCCTGTGCTAAAAAAATGATAAAAAATTACATTTTAAATCTTGGAATGCTATAATTGTGCAATAATTTAAAATAAAAATTCCCTTATATTTATGAAAGAATATTTTACGTCTGCCATATTCAACTCTTATAAACTACCCTTTTACTAATAATAATGTAAAATATTTTTCTTAAATCCTAACATTTTGCTCCAAAAAATGAGAAAGCCTATTTTGCTCCGAAGAAATGTCATTGGTTTTTTTACCATAACTCGGTTAATTCGTTTTTTAAAGGGAAAGGATCCTTCGTTTTTTAAAGGGAAAGGATCGAAGGTCTCGAGACGGGTCGTTTTTTCATTAAAATGGATACTTAAACGGCGATATATCCTTTATTTTTATGCTATAGGAATGAAAAAGGCAAAATATTTATTGAAAAAAAGCTACATTTTTATTGTCTATCATTTTTTACGTATCTTTCATAGTTTCAGAGTTCTTATATAAATAAGGCAATTTTTTTTGAATAAGGAAAAATACGTTTTCAACTTTTACCGTACATTATTAAAAAAATACGCATTCTAAACCGGTCTAACTTTAGGATCGTATGAAAGACACTAAAACAAAACTAATTTTAAAGGGTCTACGATTATTTTTAATTCTGATGGAAATGGTACAGCGTTTACTGCTCATTTTTCCTTAAAAAATATGAGCAACCTATCTGTTTTTGACGATAACTCCGTCAATTTTGCTCTAATTAACTTTTATAAGTGCTCATTTTGAAGGTCTTTTTGAGTACTACAAAAAACTCCAGGAGCGTTATACACGTCAAATTAATCCTTTTTCCGTTATTTGACGTTGAATACATCGATTCGAGTATTCCCCCCAAAACAAGTCCCCTTCCACTAACCATATTTCGCTTTGTATAGGACGTACAATACTTTTAAAAACCATTTTCTTTGTTTATTTATAAGCTACAAGTGTTCATTACACTTTTTTTAATAAAATGCGTAGTTTTTGAGTTATTCGCCAAAAATACTTTGAAAAAGTGTTTTTTTTTTTCACTCAAAATTCCAAGTTTTCAATCGTGAATAACTAAAAAACTATTGATTTCTCGAAAAAATTCTTCGAATATTTTTTGTTCAAAATTTTATTCTCTATCGATTTTGAAAAAAGTTCCACCCCCGAGAAGGGGTGTCAACCCCCAACAGGGTGGAAGCGTCAATCTGCTCTTGTCACTAATGTTCATGGAACTTTTCTCTAACTATCTGCCAAATTTCAAGTCGATCGGTTCAGTTTCAAAGAATTCGGAGGTGAAAAGTTTCAATGACTGTACTAAATGGACGAAGTTACAGAGAGTGCGTACAATGCAGGAGCTGTGTTTGTGGTGGTATATAAATCAACGCTTGTTGATATTTTACAAGTACCTATGTATGTGCGATTATAGAGTAAGCGTAGGTGTCGGTTTGGAGGCTTCCACGGCAGTGAATGGTTGAATAATTTTCGGGTACGTCGTCAGTTTGGACTTGTTAAGGTTTCGAGAGACATAATTCTAGTGGGAAAGACGCGACACTAAGTCAAAAGCGCTCAGATTCTCACTCACAAACTCAAGGGAATACAATTAGATCCAGATGATATCCTAGTGAGTTTTAACGTGACAATATTGTGAAGCTCTGGAGCCGACAACTAAGCCAAAGCCTAAGCCTAAAGCCAAAGTGTTGGATCAGTTGTCTTGACGATACGTTAATTCATCTAGCCCCATGGGTATAACTTGGAAGACTTCCGAGCCTTATCAATCGGGAGATCAGTTTCTCAATGGAAATGGAAGAATGGGGCATTCTAATGAATGTTTTCTCAATATCTTGAGGATCTAAGGTGTTAGAATTACCTGGAATGTGAAAACGGCTTGGAGGAGAGTTTTCTCTAAAGAGAGAGCGATATGTCTCTCGAAACGTTATGCGGTCGAAACCGATGACGTGGCAACAACGTTGGCTATTTTTAAACAAGTACAAAGCTATTGGACATTTGAAACATGTAGTAGTAGTCACGAATCACATTTGTAGTCTCTGTTTTGGCAAATTGTTTGGCGGTACTTCTATGTTATTTCTTGTAGGATACTTGGTAGCTTTGCCAGAGTTTCCCGACGTTGTCAAGCTCGCCAGTTGTCCGGACGAAGTGTTCGCTTCTGCTTGGAAGTCCGCACAACCAAAATATTTCCCAGACGAATCTATGCAATCGATGATTTTTTAATACTTACCAACTTAACTAACTTACTAGTCGTCTTGTAATGAATAATAAAATTTGTTTGTATTAACAACGCCTTTATTCATTTAGTTCCAACTAAATAAAATAAATTCCTGGTGACAGAACTATTATAAATTAGAATAAAACGTATATTTTCAAAATTTGTTTGAAAAAAATTTTAACATATGGAGTTGTACAATTCCATATTTTTTACAATTCACAATTTAATATATCTATTTATTGTACACTAAAGGGTGATTAGAACCTTAAAGAGGATATTAGAAGGGTAAATAAATAGAAGTACGAAAATTCGAACGGGAGAAATATTTTTTACAAATAGAATATATTATTTCAATATATATTGACTTACCACAATAATATGAAGAAACATTTTTGGAACCGCTGACTTCATCTACTGTATATAAAGATGTTCAGTTAACACATCTTAAACAAATTTCCTTTTAACAGGAAAAAGACACAAAAGTAAAAATCCTTGAAACTTAAAACAGTAAAAGATACAAAACTGATAACCTAAAATTGAATTATCAGTTTTTTTGTTTACTACAAAAACAGAGCCATCTACGGCCTCACCTATTAACTTCTTTCTCTGCAGTATGTAACTCAGGAATAATTCCAGAGATTCGCAATAAGTTTTAACAATCTGGATTGTTATTAATTTTTAACACCGTTTTGAAGTTTTTATTATTCAAAATGCTTATTTAAAACATTCTAGTTACCAATGAAAAAAAAAAAAAATCCTCAGGTTCATAAACACCTTATACAGGGTGAGTCATTAACCTCAAAAACTTAAAATGTCTGTATCTCGAAAACAGTTGAGTTTATCGATTTGTGGCATGTATACCTTTTTTATTTAAAATTGAACGTAGTTCAATATTTCTTGTTAAAAAAATCAAAATTGTAAAATACAAAAAGTTGGACGTATTTTTACGTTGACAGTATAACTAGCGCCGCCTAGACGTGACTCCAACACTGTTTGCATATTCTTATTTGCCACCTCAAAAAACGTAAAACTACAAATTTTCAAAACAACGATCCATACATGCTTAAAATTTAGCAAAAAATCGAAAATAATTTTTCAACTTTAACACCCTGTAGAACGAAAAAGAGGTACAATTGATTAAGGCATATTTGGCTCAATCGCTATATTTTGATATTAACAATCTGCCATTAAGCTGTGTACCATTATTAATGACTCACCCTGTATTTTTGAAGCAAGTGTACTCAATGTAACAATTTAACAAACCTCACTTTATTTTAACTAAATTTACATTAACAAAATGACGTAGAAATAATATTTTTAACATACATAGCTCTATTTAATTTTAACATTATTGTCTCCAGTCTAATAAATATTAATGCAATATTACTAGTAAATGTTATTTACAGTTGGCAGTTGCAAGAATTATTACACCTACTTGGTAATAAACCAGATAAAAGGGCAACGCATTTTTATTTCGTCGGGTAACATTGTTTAATGAACAGCAGAACTATTTCTAACTAATAACATTGTGGGGAACAACTACTTTGTGAACTACAGCTCCGTTCAGCACTGAATTATACTCGTAATATCTAAACAGCTAGGTTCATTCGTCGGCAAAACCACCAGACATATACCGGTTTTGAACTTATTAGTTCAACAACTACTCTGCGGACTATAACCCCGGTCAAGCCGCACATGCCTAGTAAACAACTAAGATCATCCGTCTATGTTTGGTGACTCTGACAAACTATTTACTGGATATTGCGGTTGTAATTCAAAGCTCGGCAAAGCTATAATTCACAAAGAAGTTGTTCCACACAGTGTAATGTTTTCTTAGTACGTAGCTCTCTGCTATTTCGGTACAAAGCAAAGTTTTGTGCTGGTATATAACATGCTTGTAGGTTATATCTCGCCCATACTCAATAATAGAACCAGTTTGCGTACCAGTTTCGCCCAATAATGCGCCTCTGTCATTTTGGATATTCAATCAATGACAAACCAAGCATTTTGGAAAACATCAATTTTTATTCGAGATTTTAGGACATTTCTGTGCTAAATGACTCATTTTTTATATTTTTGTTAATTACTGCAAGTTCATGTTTTATTATACTGGGCTTTATTGTCTTCAGGAAGACCGATTGTTTTACATATTGCAAAAATTATGTTTCTGTTGTGCAACAAATGAATTTTTGTCGAGATATGGCAGTTGAAGATATTCCTACTTAACCTAAAAATTTGGAACAACTGTTTTTAAAGCCCTTTATTGAAGTAGACCACAGTTGGAGGTTCGTCGTACTGTTTCTGTATTTGCTCCTGTAAAAGAAATTACAAAAACACAATGAAACGAATTAGAAAAACAAACGAAACAATTAATTTTAGCTTTAAATGTTTTTTTTTTAAAGACAGCGTTGATATACATGGAAAACTATGGAGAATGTCTTTTAAAATGCTAATTCCTAATTTTCCATCTAAAAATTTCGTTGAAAGAAAAGGGATGTCTGTAACTTTTTTATAAACAAAAGAATGGATATACAGGGTGTAACTTTAAGTAGGGGCTAGTTATTTTAGAGGATGTCAAATAAATAGTTTGCTGCTGTGAAAAAATTTAAAAAACTAATGAAGTGAATCTTGTGCCAAATGGATCAGTCTAGGATTACTTTCATGAAAATAGTTTTGCCTGACAAAAAATCTCACATTGAATAAAGCAGACAAATGCAGAATAAGAAAATACACATCACTATACAGTATGGCGCAAACAAATAAATTCATTATTTCGTAGATCGATGACAAGTCAATTTTTATTTCTAAAAGTGTGTTCTTGAAAGGTCTTGTAATTCTCTATCCAACCTTATGAATGAATGAAGTTTAGGTAATAGAATTTTATGTAGTACCAAAGCAAAAACTATGATTACACAGCCACACAAAAAAAGAAAAGTTGTCTGCACTTTTCATGCGACATATGTTATCCGTAATATTTTTGCCTTCTGATCACGAATCCGGTGTCAGAATTGAGCTATCACATCACAGGAATTTCCTAACCTCAAAAAACAGGCCAAAAATAGCAAAAATTCACGAAAAAGTGATAGGAAATGTACAGAAAATTATTTTTTTCTGTATTCAAATGTTCATTTATATGGTTAAGACCCTGCCGAATGTGAATCAGCATTCAAAATTGATGGTTCTTTTTCTAACCTCAAAAAAAAAACAGGTCAATTAAGGTCAGATCTCACGAATTTTTAAAAAATAGGATTCGCACAAAATTTGGTATACGGGGGTTTTCGGGGTTGCTGATCACGGATTCGAGGTCAATTTTGCAAAATTCAAGATGGCGGATCCAAGTTGGTCGACCAAATTTTCAAAAAATAACCCATTCGCGCTAAATTTGGTGTACGGGGGTTTTCGGGGTTGGTGATCACGGATCCGATATCAATTTTGTAAAATTCAAGATGGCGGATCAAAGATGGCTGAACCAATTTTCAAAAAATAACATTCGTGCCAAATTTGGTATACCGGGGTTTTCGGGGTCGCTGATTGCGAATTCGAGGTCAGAATTGCGAAATTCATTTGGTAATATTTTTGTTTACTTTATGACTTGAATCATGTTTTAATCTTCTTAAAGTACATAGGTAATTGATAAAATTTGAATATAAAAAAATAATTTTCTGTACATTTCTTAGCACTTTTTCGTGAATTTTTGCTATTTTTGGCCTGTTTTTTGAGGTTAGGAAATTCCTGTGATGTGATAACTCAATTCTGAAAACAAAAAATACCACTCCCGTTGAAAATTACAGCCCGTGAGGATGATAAATCTGCTTCATGGGAACTACCAACCTTAATCTGTCAATATAATGAGGAAAATATAGAAAATTAATATTTTACTACCTACGTGGAAGCGCCTAATTTTAGATATTTTAACTCGCAAAATACTGGTTGGACTTAAATGGTTTATTCACATTTCTTAGTTTACATCTTTTCAAAGTTAACTTAGTTACAATTAAGGAATGAAGATGGGAGAATGGAAGGTGGAAACAGGGATAGGACGTCATCTTTACAAGCCTCTATTAAAATGAACATATTTTGGTGGGCCTAGGCGATATTTCTTGTCCCATTTACACTAAAAAATAGCATCAAAGAATAGGTTACTACGACAATTCTTTAATTTTCAAATGAACACGTGCTTCTTTCAAATATTAATAGTAAGTATTTTGAATTTGAGGAAATTTTGAGTTAAATTTTAAGTAACGCAAACTCGTACTATAAAGTATTCATGTAAGACGTTGATGGAGTTTTGTATCCAAAATGGAAGTAACTACAGAGTATTCAATTTAGTTCAGTCACCCCTGTACACTAAGAGAAAAATCTTCTTGTAACTAGTATCAGGGTTTAATTTTTTAAAAACATCAAATGTTTATTGTTATACAGGGTGTCCCAATATTCCCTGTTTCCTGTGATCACAATAAGCAGATTTAACTAAACTTTTAACCATTCCTAAGTTGTTTCGTTGATTAAAAAAAATGTTTTTTTCAAATAATATTGAAAAGTCTTGTAAGAAAGGCTTTATTGAAATTTGTTACACTACACTGTAAAAAAAATCACTCAAATTTCACTCAATTTTTGTATTGCACTTTTGTTTGGTAAAACCATAGTAGGCCACCATTGGTCACAGTTATCATTATTTTCATGAATTGTCATTAATAAATCAGTTTCGTTGATTTTAACTATTCTAGGATTAACAATAAATACAGGCATTAAGAACAAACCGTTATGTTAATAGTTCTAAGGTTTTGTGAAAGAAATTGCCGTAGAAACATTGATTTTATAAACTGTCAGATTTCAGTTTTTTGAAAAAAAAAACAATTATTTTTGTCAACTTTGAGATCCTCTTTCGTTAAACGAGGCAACTTAGGGTAGAGGTAAGTTTAGCTAAATCTGCATATTTTTATTGCAGGAAACGTAGCAGGTCCATCTACACGTTATATTGGGACACCCTGTACTTTTAAATAACCTCTCTATGATATTCTGATTTAGTCCAGGCGGTATCTGTCTTACAAAGGGTGTACTAAATAACATCAGAAATGATAATTTTTCTATGCAAATAAAAAAAAAACGTGGGCTTAATTGTTATTACAAAAAAGTATAAAAAAATAACAAAAAAAAATCATTTTTTTCTTGGATTTCTCATCGACAACTTAGCAACTACTTATTCATTTTAGACAAAAATGGAAGAGGAAAAAAAGTTTTGTAATTAAATTTTGAATAAGATAGAGTTAGTTGCAGTTCGAAAAAATAATTATTGTTGTTGCAAAAATCGGAAAAATCATTTAAAAAATTGCAAAAAATGCTAGTTTATTTGTAAATATTTTTCAGACACTTGAATAATACCTAGGATCTTCATACTTTTNTCTATATAGCTACTAGTAAAAGAAATAACAAACAATTTCCGTTGAAAGCAACCAAACTATCAAAATGGAGATATCCTAGGGAAAACAGAAAAGACCCAGACCATGAATCTATGGCAAATAGGATGAAAGGAATCACCTAATGGAAGAGGGATGCACCGATTGATTAAAGTTATCGGTAACTGGATTCATCTTAATCCAGCATCATTTTTTCAGATTTTTTCAAAAATTACTTAATCCCTTAACCTTGACCTTTTGGAACTTCAAAGACCTCAGATTCAGCTGACCTCAGATGACCTCATAAACGTATCCATGATTATTTTTCAGACTTTTCCATGGCTTTTTCTGCATTTGACCTTCAAATGACCTTGACCTTTTGGAGCTTAGCTGACCTCAGATTCGGATTGTCCGACCTCAAAAACATCCATGATTTTTTTCAGATTTTTCATGGCTTTTTCTGCATTTGACCTTCAAATGACCTTGACCTTGACCTTGTGGAGCTTAGCTGACCTCAGATTCGGATTGTACGACTTCAAAAACATGTCCATGATTATTTTTCAGATTTGTTCATGGCTTTTTCTGCATTTGACCTTCAAATGACCTTGACCTTGACCTTGTGGAGCTTAGCTGACCTCAGATTCGGATTGTACGACTTCTAAAACATATCCATGATTTTTTTCAGATTTGTTCATGGCTTTTTCTGTATTTGACCTTCAAATGACCTTGAACCTGACGTGATGGATGTTAACTGACCTTCTCATCGTAATCAGCGACCCCAAAAACCCCTAGTAGCCTATACCGATTACGGTGTTCCCGCTTAGATCAAATGTTGACCTGTGTTATTA